CTTCTCAGCCACCGACAGCACAAACAAAATGAAATGAAGAAAAATTGTAATGTAAAAACTGAAAAGTCAACAAATGTTAGTGGTGAAAAATTTTTCAATTAAAAACAACAAGAAAAGAAAAAAAATATTTTTTTTTGTTAAACCAAAAATAAAAAAAGAACAGTTCTCGAAAGGAATTTTTATGGTAAAACAAATAAAATTGAAAAATGTTTTTTGTCATATACACAACTAATAAATATTCGCTGTTTGTTTACTGTACAACAAAACACAAACAGATGAAGTGGGAGAGGAAGGGAGTTGAAATGGAGGTGGAGATGGAGATGGATATGGAGATGGAGATGATGATGATGACGATGACGACCACTGCCACCATAACAGCTGCTATGGTCTTGAAGAAGCAAAAATTTCTGCTACCAGTAACTTATCTATTTATAGTTCAAAAAAAAAAGGTTAACATTACACATATATCTGTACACTGTTATTTTTATCTTTCTTTTTTTACCCATCAGAAAATCTTCCGTTTCAAAAAAAAACCACAATAACACCCAAAATAAAGGCAAAAAAAGGACAACTGGTAAAGAACTGTTTTCATCAAACAATTATCATTACTCCGACAAAAGAATCTTGAATGAATTATATCAGTAAATGTTTTCCCCGCCTAATCACAGTAAGGATCATGAGGTGATGGCGATGACGACGACGATGAAACTAACAATGACGAGAGTCACAACGTTGCCAACAGACAAAGATGGTGGCAACTACGACGATGGTACCAAGAACGATGTTGACAACAACAACGACAACAACAGCAACAGCAGCAACAACAACAACGGCAACGACAGCCATTACCATAATCACGACGATGTCGTTGATGACAACAAAGAACGATGAAGAAACAGCAGTAACATTGTTGGCGAAAAACAGTTCTTTAGAATCATTACCTACTTCAAAATTTTATTTGAAAGGAAGAAAAAAAATTTTTTTCCTTTATACTTTTATTCAAGATTTTAAAAAATGCAACAAAAGACATTAACCAGAATCTGAAATAGCACTCTGAAACGGCTGTTTGAGAAGATGTGAAGAAAAAAGGACGGGGACGGGGGGAGTGGATAGGATGGAGGGGGGGATGGGGGAGCTGGAGAGAGGGGATGAAGAAGATAGTAGCAACTTTTTTGTCCACGGTTTTACAAAGAAGAGGTTAAAACAACGACGATTAAAAAGACTGGTAGTGTAGTCCTTCACGAATGTTGGCCATCCGCAAAAGCGCAAAGCAGCACAACCTTTTTGCCTATAAATACCCCAATAAAGTCGTCCACCTTAACCCAGTTGTGATTCTTCTAACGGTTCTTCATCCGCTCGACGTTGTTGCCTTTTTTGGTACATGAAAATTTTTCATCCATACGTATCTATGTATGCCTCTCTCTATACAGCCAGTTTTTTTTTTTCTGCAAATGAGGAGGTAACATTTGTTGTT